AGATAAGAATCTGCATTTAATTTTCTTAAAAAATTTCCCTCCTTTGTCATCCGCCTAGAAATGTAAACGAAAAAGTAAGAAGCAGCACCAGCGAGCTGTTTCGCGAGGGTAATCCGTCTTTCGGACGGAGCGTGTGCCGCCGCGAGTCCCTTCGTGGCCGGACAATAGCGCGCCGCGAGCAAAAAAAGGTTTGAGAACCGTCGGCCTAGAGTGTTAGAGGAGTGTAGGCACACCGCAATATCGCCAAGGGACGGTGCATAAAGGATCCCGATAGCAATGACTATAAATTCGCTCTAAGCGCGAGTCTAAATATAAACTACGTGCGAGAGCGGCTCCGCGTTGTTCCCGCGAGAGAAAAATTGCGCATATTTTTATCCTGTTATTATTACTATTAATGCGACCTTTTCGCGATTACACGTTTTATATTCCTCCCGGTGTTGCATTAATGCAACCCACCTGCCTCGCTTTAACGCTTCGTTAACGTCGGACGCTTCGTTACGTCGAACTTTATCCCGTGAAAAGTAAGCGTGTATGACGAAGGGAGGAAGGGGAACGCGCGCGTTAATTATTCCGCGCGCGCAAAATCATGCGTCGCAAATTAACGTAAACAAGCGCGTTTCCTTTTGCGCGCGTATGGAATTCTTTCTTTCTTGCAGCGAGCATTAGGTAGGATCGAATTTCCTACGAAGGGAAGTAATGTGATAGCTCAACGGTCGAAAAATATTAGCCGAGAATCACTTCCGATAATCGTGGACACTTAACACGAACCCTTTGCAACCGCAGAAAGCATAGTCTTCACTTTTGTTCTCTCGCTCTCTTTCGTGAGTTACTCCTGAATGAATGTACCAAGCTTAATTAAGGATGATTCTTCCTCCTTCCGAGAAAAGTCAATCGCGATCTGCGATCTGACTGATAATCATTTTCGCGCGAGTTCGCGCAGCGTAGCGGCCGACACGCTGTGATGAATGTAAAACCGAGCGTACAAACTGAATATTTAAAAGATTATAAAGCAAGTCGGGAGAGGATACGGGGCGATACCGCGTTCACTCGCTCGACTTGCGTGCCTACTGGCTGCTCTTTCGATAATATGATCGATACCGATCTTGATGACGTAGCTGTCTCGCGAGTCACGATGGCGCAAACTGAAACGCAACATCCGAAAAAGTTTTTCTTGCGCTAATCCCTCGCGCGTATAATTTAGCGCATCGTCGGAGATCGTCTGTTTCGACCTAAAAACAGATGCACGAGGATCGCGGAGAAGAAGCGAGTATAGAACAGTCCAAACTTTGAATCTGAAGAATCTATCCTACTATTCTTCGTTCATTCTCGTCTTGAGTCCCGCCTTTCACCGGACACCCTGTATATGTATTATTACGTCTTCAGAAGGTGTATGAAAGTAGAGGTGGAACAGAAGCGACGATAAACGGAAGAAAGCGACAACCGTAAGGAACCGTAAAATAAACTGAGAAGAACATCACGCTCGGGCGGCCGTCACTCACCTGAGCGGCCGGTATGTATATATGAAACGATATAAGTGCATTGTGCTCGTTAATGCGCTGGCAAGCGCGTAATGCTTGCGTATGTGCATAAATATTTATGCTATTCGGCTGAACAATCCCTAAAACGAAATGAAGTCTCTGCGGCCGTGACGGGAACGCTCGCGTATTATCGTTGATACAATATTTCGTGTTGCTTCTTATTATCAATCCCATCAATGATATTGCCCCCTCAATGCGGATTATTTTCTTTCGCTCTCGCGCTATTTCGATTAGAAAACGACAAATTCGCGAATTAATTTGCATTTCCAATTTGAAATTTTTCATTTTTATTATTAAATTTTTATTGTTAATATACTTTTTTTCTCTCATCAAACATGTACACACATACACATTCTCTCTCTCTCTCTCTCTCTCTCTTTCTTTTTGCGAGGATCCTCCTCGCAAATGATAATTTTGAAATATTATTTTTACAAGTTGAATCGAAAAAATTCGAGCATATTTATGATTAATAAAGATCGACTACGTATGTTGATATATGCATTCGGGTGCTGTCATCAATAATCTCATTAAATTTCTGAAACCTCCAAATATGTGCTGCGAGACGTCGACACCGTGTTTTTTTTTCGCTGCGCCGAATGACGATGGATTTAGATTATAAAAAGCCAGTAGCTCGTACATGTACGAATGTAATAGTAAGGAGGACCGATTCCGATTGGTAGTACACAACAAAGCCGCAGAACGAATATGTATTCGGGCGTTCATGCGGGCGCGTAACGCTTTTGGATACATGAGGGCCAAAGGGAGAAACAGATAGAGAGAGAAGGATAATTTTGTTGTATTCCGAAGAGAAAAGCGGAGTAAAGAGAAACGTACAATAGATATAAATTACAAATTAGATACAATAGATATTGAGATCAAATATGCGAAAGAAAAAGAAAAAAAGAAAGAAAAATTTATCATACTTTGGCAAGGAACTTCCTTAGTAGCATAGTATAAAAATAAAAAGTGTAATTAAATTGGGATACAAAAACCGATATAGATATAAGATTAAACGTAGCAAAACAGTAGAAGAAATATTCAAAATACTTAAGAAATAAAAATAGAGAGAAAAAAATAAGCGACGAAGGAAAATAGAGAAAGACTAGAGAGGAGAGACCAAAGAAGAGAGAGCCGCAGAAGCGGACCAAGGGAGACGGACTCGCTCGAGCCGAACGCCACTTCTCTCCTCGGCGGGAGCGGAGAGAGAAAAGAGAGCGAGAAAGAGAGTAGTGAGATAAGAAAGGGAGGCAGAGAGATAGAGAGACACGCAGCGCACACAGCCAGCGGGGTGTGCAGATGTGTCCCCTCCCCGCGAGTTCCGCCGTGCACGTGCATCGAGGTCGCGCGCGTGTGTGCGGGTACAAAGTAGGTCCAGCGGCGCGGAGGAGAGCGAGACGGCGAATGGATATCGCCGTCCCCTCGCGGCCGGCGCGACCAATCCGCGCCGAGCGCGAGCTGCGTGAAGGCGGAACGCGCTGCTCTTTCGCGTATATATTCCGCGGTATTTATTATTCAGTTTGCAAATACGTGGCAAAAATGATCTCTCTCCCGCGCGGGCGCAGACGCTCGCCGCTTGCGCTCGGGTGCGCGCGCGCGCGCGCGCTCGCTCGCGCTCACGCTGGGATGTTGGCCTCGCCGCGGCTCCTCTCACGGGCCGGCCCGCTCGGCTCGGAGCCGGGAGGTGGAGCCAGAAGGCAAAGGAGCAGGGTAAACGACGGAGATATCGGCCGTTAATTTGTTAGAAACGCCACCGGCACGGCCGATCGCGCCGCGTACGCCTGCCCGCGTGCGTATGTGCGTGCGCGTGCACGCGTGTACAATTGTACATGCGACACCGCGCTACGATCGGACTCCATGAGACCCGCTTCGCGAACTTATGAGAATCGCGACGTTAAACGACCCGCTGGGTATTTAACTTTGTTTAATAAGACTAATATCGAATATTCAGAGACAAATTCGCTTAAAAGTGAGAATTAGAGTTAATACGATTACGCGCGACGCTAATAATGTCCGTGTTTGTTAGTCGCCGCCTTAAATAACGTGAGCGAAAGCGGGCTAAGCGTTCAGACGGAAAAGGAGCGTCGTCGCGCGACCGTTCCATGCAAAACACCGGTAATCCCCGTTTTTCTACGAACGCGTGCATTTGCACCATGGTCAGTTACGCCTTCTCCACCCGCGTGGTGTTCTCCGCCACGCCATAACATTTCCGCAGTTAACACACTCGTGGCCGATATCATCTACTCCTTTCTTTTCGCCCGTTCGCGTTCTTTGATGTTCGCCAGCACGCCCGTGTCTCGGATTCCAAGGAAAAACGCGATTTAATCGTGCGATCGTATAATTACAAAATTGCAAATGCCCGTCCGATCGTGATCATCGCGCGTGTCGTTGGTTCTTAATCGCCGATTCCCAGAGTCTTTCCCATATGGTGTTTAACGCGTATTAAGTCTAATCGCGATATACCGGGAATGCGAGGCGGAAGTATCAAGAGGCCCACCCGGCAAGTGATGCGGTCCATCACTGGTCAGACGTTCACCGAATCGAAGAAGCCACGTGGACCCGCCGCGCCGCGAGAGCTCTCGCCGTTCTTAATCCCGTGATCTCGAATTGCGCGATCAGTTGAAGCCATCGGTGGTGAAAGAACTTCGGTTTAACAAAGGATTTCCGGTTTCTTCCGGAAAATCGGGAAAACTCGGAAGAAAACTCAATCTTGATTTCCGGAGATAAATATAGGCGGGATCGCGAGGTCTCGATGACATCTCGCTTGATTAATCACATCGTGAGAAAGTCTCGGCTACGACGCGACGTCGCGCGTCGCGAGCAGAAGTGAAGTAAACAGAAATATATTGTTCCTGTCAAGTTTCACTATTTCACGATTAATATTGTTAATAACGCCTAGAACGTTAAATTATGCGGCCCCGACAGGCTACCTGGCGTTTCCCGTGGAGTTCCTCGTTCGCGACGTTTAAAAAAAAAAGAGCCACGCGGTTCAAAGTTCAAGGCACTTTACGCCCTACTTCCTCCGCGACTGCGTCGTTCGAGCCGTAAAACGGCCTCTCCCCGAGGATAGGCACAAATTAGAATCCCGTGGAATTCGCAAAAGTCACAGTCGAGTTGGCAACCGGTCCGTGTGTGTGAACGTAAGCCCGCTTCGACTTTTCTTTCCGTGGATCTTTTTTTCCTCGTGCTGCGCGACGAGAGAAACGTTTTTTTTTTTAATATCTCGCCGCGATATTGAAGATCTTTTGATACTTATATTCTTTGTTGTATAGAAATCGGTTTCATATATTTACATGCCTCGTTACGGCGCTTCCCCTCTCAAAACTTGGAGATTCCGCGACTCTTTCCGCGAGCATCTCGTTTTTCCGATGCAACGGGCCGACGCGTATTCTTTCTTCCGGTCGCGAGGACATTAAAGGCCGATTTTCCTAGTACGAGCCGCGGAGAATGCGACCGACAACTTACTTGGCGGTGCAAAACGGGAACGTTGTGAAAGCCCCGGTGCGGCGCGGCTCTTCATCCTTCTCGTCTTCGTCCTCTCGACGCCGCTCGACGTCCCCTCGCGTTCCCTGCACGGCGACGGCGACGGTGGCGGTGGCGGTGGCGGTAGCGACGACGGCAGCGCGGTGGCGGGCTCTCCTCGCTAGGAAATAAGAAATTTTCTTGAGAGATGCGAGCCTCTCCGTGCGAGGGAGGAGGCCTAGCCAAGCGAACATAGTTAATTTAGATTGTATCGCGTGAGAAGCAGGAAATGACGAAATATCCTGAGTGCTGACTTATGCACGCCGCCTCGTGTGTGCCTCGGCCGCGCCGCGCTGCTCCTCGACCTCAGCCGCGGCTCTGCTACGCGGCTCCGACACGCAAGGATGATACCTTTTTTTTTTCTTTCCTTTTTTCCTCTCTCTATATATATCCTATATTCCGATCTGACACCGCCGCGCTGCGTGGCGAGAACATTTGCGCGACGTCGTTCGACGTTTCATCGAACCGTGAAACGCATTGAATCGTGTCGCGATATATACGATATACATCGAAAATTCGACGGAACACGCGCTATCAGGGATACCCGTTAAACTTACTACGGAACGTACCGTCAGTCCTCCGACACCGTGAGAAATTGGAGAACACTTCTGTGTAGCGAAAACTTCGCGGGAAGACGTTAACTTTTAAACATTCCGAAATTAGGCGTGCGAAATTAAGTGTAATTCCAGTTAAAAAATCAGCTGCATAATGAGTTTTCACTTTTTTTTTATTTATGACTTCGAGCTTCGATGAATCAGAACCGATCAATTATAATTGTCATTTCATTACTGTCTCAAATGTCGATGCGTATATAGAATTGGGCATGGCTGCCAGACGGTCTTCCAGGTCGTACCCCGTGGAAATCTCGTCGGCGCACTAAAGGAAGTGACGCGGGAATAATTTGTCACACGTGATTGGAGACGGCGTATAATGAAGGCTCGAGTTCCGAGTACAATCGGTGCCATCGGTTTTAAACGACCATATATATGAGGACACACGCACACAGTGCATTCTTATACAAATAAGTCGCTATATACGACTGTAAAGCGTTATCCCGCATAAATCGCTTAAACAGATATAAACAAAAGAGCTCGTAACGCGCATCTCCCAATTAATCATTTTCTCGTAGAGATACTTATCGAAAAGTTGAATAAAATCTTTTTTATTTACATTTTTAACAGTAATAGTGATGGAAAACAGTGATAATAAATCTACGATGAACGCGTGTGATGCGTACATACACACAGAGGCGCAAACACGCCTATTACGCGGTGATAGATTTGTTGTCGGCAAGGTGTAACGAAACATCGATGCGCAAGGTCATTCTATACTTTGCTGTCGTAAGGTGAATGAGAGAAGACGCTCGTCTGTAAGGCGTTATAAGTAGAGACGTGGGTGCTGTGTTTAATTCCGCTCACGAAACCGGGTTCTTTCCGTCACACTCCCATGGAGCTTGGTCACCTGAAGAGTTACTATGCCCAATTAACCCTTTGAGAACCGTACGCTTGCCGGGCATTGCCACTTCCGACGTTGCAACAGCTTTTTGCCATACGATTTTAGCGAGTCCATTATCTGAGCCACGCTATGAAAAAAAAAAAGAAGAAATACCCACGTACCACGATCATGTACTGTGTGTGCGTGCATTTTTCTTGATTCTGTTGCAAATAATTAATTTTGTCCATTCGTGTTAAGATTTTTATATAAATTCACTTGAGAGCGATAACTCGAGCCGTTTGATCAAATCGAGAATCGCGAATTATATCAACGCACCTTAATCGATGACGACCATTACGGTTGCGTGCAAATACGAGCCCGTTTCCACGTGAGCTCTCAACTGGAGAGAGAAATAGAGAATGAGGAGAGGTCGAGAACGACTCTTTAATCTCTCACCTGTGACCCAGACGATACGCGTTCGCGAGTGACGAACGGCTCGACGGAAGCGAACGGGAGGAACGATTCTCTTCGATCATGAATATTTCAGTCGTCAAATTTCCCGAATAATGAACTGATAATTAAGTGACAGGTATTGAACAATAGTATTAAGCAATAAGATTTTTTCCTCGCGAAAGGTGTTCGAACGACTCCGAACTCACGGAAAAGTAACATTTTATCCATCATCCTAAAAAGATACAAATTTCTTGATTATTTCTGACGACGGAGTTGGAAAAAAAAACAGAAAATTCATCGGCGGGAGGAAGAACGACGATGCGTACGGAGCACGCTACCGTACGCATCGATAATATTCCAAAGGGGCCTCATTAGCGATCCAGGAACGTCTATCCTCCGCCACGAGGAGTAATTATCTGTTACAACGCAGCCGCGTGTGTATGTACGGCGTATAACAGCAGATCAGCGCAACGATTAAGCTCAAAAATAGTTCATGGGAACCCAGGTAAGCTAATCTCCATCGCATTAGTGTTGTTCCATACGTATAAAATGCTTTCCGAGGAGGAAGCAGCATGCACGCACCTTTACCGCTCGCGGGGTCATCACTTTCGAAAGACCGCGAACGCCTCTCGACTGCTCGCGAATTGCGTTGTCCTCGAGGTACCGCAAAATCCAGTTTCAACCAGAAATTCATTCCTATTCAATTCTGTTTTTTGTATTATCGAACTGTCCGATCGACGCTTAAATTTAATCCCGAATAGATGAATCTGTAGATGACTTTGCCGTACTAATTCGTTCGACAGTACTAATCATTAACGCTCGTTATTTTTTACGCTGTCTGGCATCTCGCTTTCGATCGAGCTTGTAAAGCCTTCGTTTCGAGTCCATAAATTAATGTAATGCTCGCTACTGTACGATAGCCGAGAGATCGCGTGCACGGAATCGTGCGCATCGTTCGGTGTCCCTCGAAATCTACGAGGCGCGCTCCTGGTGAGACAGGTCGGGTCCAACTCGTCGCGGGAAAAATGACGGGTTCGCCATTGGTGAATCTACCCCGGCATGTGCACGCCGGTACTTACCTATACAGGGTGTTTGCACACGCGATGTACCTCATTGAAAGACGTATATTTCATTTATGGCTTCTGCGAATCTTAAGACCGGCATTTTTTCCGCGAAGATTCAATTGAACGGTTATCGCGATCTTTTAATTTTTCAACATTAAGTATCTCTGTGAAAATAGCATCCGTAATATCTAAAATGAATCTGTTGACGTCTTGCCGAAACTTGTTTCGCGAAAGGAAATGTTCGATCAGTCCGACCGTCCGCGCAACTCCGAGAATCATCGAATAGATTTTTGTTGAGAGAGAATCGCGCTCCTCAGACCGCGCGAATGGTTCGCGAGTGAAACTCGTCGCGTACGTCGCGGAACACCCTGTATAATCTAGCTGCCGTACCTCTACGGTACCTACCTACCTACCTACCACCCGCAACCGACAACAGGCCAAGCCGGGGCAGAGTCTTAGGCCAGGCCAGGCCGAGCAAGAGTCGTGTAAGAAGGGGTTAAGAAACTCTCGAACTGAAGTGCCTACACCGGAAGCAGGGGCCTTGCTTTCTGGGCTAATAACCGTACCCACATCGACACGCGGGATCTGCGTGCGCGCGTACACGCTTAGAGGAGAGAAAGACGGAGAGAGAGAGAAAAAAAAGAGCGTGAGAGGGGGACGGAGGAGGGGTCGGAAACGAGGGGTGGGAGAGAGAGAGAGAGAGAGGTGTAATATAGCGGCGGCGGGGTCTCTTTTATGCGTGCGCGTACGTATACGCCTGGGCGGCCCCTGGTGTGACGCACACACAGGTGCGCGCGGGGCCCCTTATCAGCATGCAAAGCTAGATTTTATGTGCGATCGAATGCCGAGCTGACGGGATTCATACGCAAATCGCAATCGAGCTACATGCACGCGAGTCACTCCAAGTCACTCGGGAAAACGCCGCGACGAAAAGCCGCCGCGCCATCGTGACTCGATGCCGAAATTGATGTATGTTGCGATACGAGGACCTTATTACAAATATATTGGTATTTTATACTACGTGATGTCTCTCTACATGAAAAACCTCGATTATCCGCTGAGCGATTTGACGACTGGTGGATTATCCGAACCTGTGGCATAATTATTTGTTTACTTATCATATTTGAGTGTGTTATGCCTCATAATAAATGCACGCACAATTTCCTGCGCTATAATTATAGTTGCCAGCTTTACGGCGCGTCAGTTATTTCTTACGCTGCCATAATTATAAATATGATTTCTCCACTTTGCGGCGCGGGTAATTTTATGAAATGACGGATCTCTCACTACTCTGAAGTGGATCTTCTCACCGTTCGCGGAGTGAGATTGATTATCGCTCCTCGCTAACTGTACAACGGATAGGTCTCGTAAACAGATAAATCTGCAATTAAATGCGAAATTAACCTGAATATGAAGCATGCGCGATTAGGTATCTCGCGGACGAAGTAACGTTACGGGATACAGCGCGCCAAGTCCTCATAGATAAGCGACATCCGCTTCTGAAATGCCGAGACGAAAACTCGGGGCGACGTTTTATCTCAGACGTAACAGACAATTGATTTCAAGATTGCTTGCGGCAATCGGTTTAAACGGAAATTGATATGCATTGCTGATTAAGCGTTATCGATAACACGCCTCACGATTCTTTAACCACTAAAATTCTCCCCCGACGGGACGGTATTTAACAGCATTTCTACAAGCCGCCGAGATGCGGTCGCTGAGATAAGGGGAGATTAATCGAAAACGGTAGCGCTGGTCCAGCGGAACGACAAACAAACGTGCCGACGTAACGCCGCTCCTGCTGCAGGAACAACGAACGGGGGGGAACAACGAAACCCTTATCGCGCGCGCAAAACGGTACGCTATCCCGTTTTCCGCTTCGTCCGCTCTCACGCGTACGAATCTCGACATCCGTACGTGGGATCGGAGAAGGTTTTGGCCGACGGGTGTCTATTTTTTTTAAATCTTTTACCGTTTTCCGAATTCTCAGTTCTTTCATTTCCCTGGCCCCTCCGCCTATCATCTCCTTCCTTCGCGCCCTTCCCTCCCGCGAGTCGCTTGACACATTCGCGCGGAGAAAAATGCGACCGTGCTCTCCCGAGGGCCGCCGTATATATGTATAGGAAGGGAACGGATGTCTGGTGTGTAAGGAACCGCTAAAATGGTGTTCGCTCTTATCCGAAGATCTAGAGCGGCGATGCGAAGAGAGGCACGCGGAGGGCTATACGTAAGGTAAAAGGGGGCTCATGACTGGCTAGTCGGTCGGTCGGTTGGGTTGGTTGGTTGGTTGCTTGCTTGCTTGCTTGCTTGGTTGCTGCTGTGGTCGTTTGGTTGGGCTGGTTAGTGCCGTTACTAGAAAGAGGCCACCTAAGTTCGCAACAAGTGCTGAGTTATGCCTCGAACTTTCTTTATAATGAGACACCGGTCGACGAAATGACAAACGTAATTAAAGCGGGCAGTCACCGGAGGTCAGGCATCCCTGAGATTTTCACAATGAGAAATCCGCACCCGTACTCTGTCCTCTCGTCTCCTCTCCTTTTCTTTCTCGCTCTCTCGTAATCGTCCGCTCGTTTACCATCGCAACGTCTTCATTCACGCTGTCGCAATGTTATTGCGAATTTCAGGATATTTTGTGATCGTCGTAGAAAGTCGTCGTTACCGATTTAACGCGTCGAGTGTTCTGAATCAACATCGTGGGCTTTATTATACTCCACGTTACTTCATCCGTTATAAATATATTTTGTATTGAATTAATTGCCTAATTGAATTAATATTATATAGAATTGTACAGCTTTCTTTTTGAAAATTGATCGACAAAAATTAATCGATTAGTACACGTATAAAAATATAATAGACGAACCGTGTAAAATACAAGGGAGTACGATAACGAAGGATTCGGGACTGACTTGAACTTACATGTGGGACTTTTTCCGAACAATCGCGAATGCAACCTTGCCCCGTTTTACGCCTCCCCGTGACACAACAATGGAAACGCAATGGTACAACACATTTCACTTTTTCGCAACGCGTGTACCGGGGGGCCTAAAAAGTATTGCGCGATTTCCTTACCGCGAGAGAATTCACCTCGTACACACAATGTAGATTGGAATTGGCCGTGTACCGTAAAAGCCTAATTAACATCTTTCGAAACCGAGGCGTGCGCGCGCGCGCGCGTCTCGCCGCTGATTCGACTTCTATTCATGAGCGACAGGGTGGCTTGAAAAAAGCGCGTAAACATCGAAATTAAGTACGAACAATACGAGGTTTTTCACCGTGTTTTCCTCATCGCGTCGGACCCGATTCAGTCAGTCTCTATTGTGGAGAAACAACAACGCAGCCGGGGAGCTAAAACGTTAACACGGGAGGTCCCCCGACATACCACGGATTATCGCAGCTCGCAGTGCTCGCACGCGAGCGCGTATTTTTATATTCTTATTTATTTTTATATTGTCCAACGGTGCGCATTCCGCGATGCATCGACCGACGCGACGCGGCCAGTAGATAAGATAGATACTCGAATATCGGAAGTCGTGTCTCGCTATCGCTCGCGCGAGAGCAAAACGCGTGAAATGCCGAAGCTCTTATTTATCGCCTCTGCGTCTCCTGCGTGCGGAACATCGCGTCGTCCGCGAATACTTTTCCGCGATACCAAGCGTCGATCCTCGCAGGCCGCGCTGATGTTCGAAAGAGAAAGAGAGAGAGAGAGAGAGAGAGAGAGAGAGAGAGAGAGAGAAGCCGCGTTTTACATTCCAGTCGCGCGATCCTGCCTCGCAGGATCCGAACCGAACGACACTCCTCCACGTGCAAGCACAGCCGGCACCCACGCCGCGGCTTATTCACGCGCCGCGGGGGCCCGCATATAAAACTGCTCCCGAGTTCGGCGGGGTCAGGGATCACGTTGGCCGCGCGATAAGCATCTCGCGTGAATGATTGCCGATGATATTTCACTTAGGGATCGTCGGGGACCGATCGGCCATCGCGAGCTCTCTCTCTCTCTCTGCCGGGATCTCGGGAATATCCCGAGAATTCCTGCGGAAAACTTTCGGCGGAATGCTAAGCTCCCATTTCTCTCTCCTTCTCTCTCTCCTCTCGCGAATGAAATTGTATCTGGTACGGTACCTCTCATGAGTCGTCCCCGATACAGCGTCGTTTCACTGACTGTTTCGCACGTTTCCGAGGCGCGAGAATTATCCGAGGCTTTCCGGTAGTATTAGCAAATCTGAAAAATAAAATGAGATTAAAGATAAGATGAATACGTTGCGAGGGTGCAGACTGTTAAAAGATTCGAGATTGCTATACGCTGCAGGAGCATAGTTTAATGCAGTATTTTAATTTTTTCTTAATAAGCATTATTATAAAAATATTTGGATTCTTTCGCAATTACCTAATTAAATAAATGTAGAAATCACTTCTCGGCTTACTTCCCGTGGTATAATAATAATAATAATGATAGTATTAATAATCGATATAACTCCTCTTTATATTAATTATGTTTTATCTCGCGAATCTTTTTGTCAGATCGAATACTTTGGACGATGCATTTGAAACTGGACGCGATAGGAATTACGCAGCCGTTCATCGAAGTTACATACATACACACCATTCGTATCGCCATCCCGAGCCCAATTTCTCAAACCGAGACTACTCCGGGCGCCCACGCGCGTGTTCGGTGGCGCCACCTCTCGCAAATTAATCAAATTAAATTCATGACCGCAAATGTATCGCCATTACGAATTTGCCGCGCGGCCACGCGACGATCCGAGAGAACATGGCAAACATGATCTCGAGAGGAAACCTTCTCGATTTGCCGCATCGATCTACGCTTTCCGCGTAGCCGCGATCGCTCGGCGAACGATAGTTGCGTCGGCCGAGCGCCGTTCAATTAACTAAACGCGACGCAGTCGCGATAAACGATACGCGCAGGCAGGGCTATTAAACTCACCGTCGTTGCTGATAACGCCGTCGATCGTGCGTTCCTCCTACGGCTCCTACCGTCGCCGCGTCGCGTCGACGTTACGTCGGGTATGCTGCTCACACGTTTGCAAAAGTCAACGACGAGACGTCGGTTTCGAGCATCCCGATGATCTCGTTTCTCGTTTTCGGTAGACGAGCGCAAGGCGCGAGCGCGATCGTTCGACTGACGGACTGACTGACGGACGGACGTGATCAAAGGGCGCAGCGACATCTCGATCGTCGCGCGGCTGCGTTCAAGACACGTGCCTTTCGGAAAAACCGCGAGAATAGAATCGTGCGCACAATCTCTTCTCTCTTTCTTTCCGTTTCTTTAAATAGAGTCCGGAAATTATTGGGCAACGTTGAAAGTTCTCTTAAATACCTCTTGAGATATTAGTTGCTTTCCATTTACATCAAAACTCAGATAAATTCTCACTTGTGATGTCATTCTGTCTTTATTATTCATTAATTCCCAAAAAGGATAGAACGACGTCACAAGTGAGAACCTATCTGAGTATTTATGTAAATGGAAAGCACCTAATTTACCTAATACTCCCAAATGCGAAAAAAATGAACGCGACCGCGTCGATTCTCCAGATAACGATAATCGAACGACATGAGTTATCGGAGCGACTTCACGTCGGACCCTTCTCCTCGCATTTTCCGCGCCTCTTCGCGATCTAACATGGCCGTTAATAATTCCTCATTCCTCGTCTATCTCCGTACGTTCTCTTATGTTAGCATCGACGACGGGGCCCGGGGCCGGGGACCTATTTTCCCCCTCGGCTCGGCGCGACCGGGCGACACGCGGCCGTTTCTCGAGGCACGTTAAAATCGCGGCTTCTGTGTGCGTAATGCGGTGGATGCGCGCCTATACGGTCGTCGGTTTGTCCGACTCTCTTGACTCGATTTCGCGACCGCAACTCTCCCTGGGAAGATATATCTCTCCCCGTGTACCCCGGCGAACGCCTCTCTTTCTCTCTATCTGTAATATACCTCTTTCTCTCGTTCTCCCGAGTTTCGCTCCTTCTCCCGTCCCTTTCCGGGGAGAGCCGGTGCCCTTCTCGAGTTCTCCGTCCTTCTCCGACGCGGCGCGGCGCGGCGGGGCCCGCCGATGGGACCGGGGGGGACGGCCGCTCCGGACCCCGTCGCGGAGACAACATAAAGATTTAAGACTGAGAGATGCGCCAATAAACATGCTGCGCCCCTGCCGCAGTCAGCTCGCGCTTCTCCGCTCTGTGTTCCGTTTTCTCCTTCTCGATTCCGCTCTGCTCTCTGGCTCTGGCTCCGTTCCGCACGGTCCTGCTCGCAGCCACCGCACGTATATGCGCGTATGCACCTATACAGGGTGTCCTGTCCTTAGCAGTTTCAACGTTTTTTTTTCTTTCCGTCTTCGGATTCCGTGGATCTTGGGAGTGGATCCGTTTCCGACTAAAATCACCCTGAAATGTCCAATTAAATTGAAGATAATTAATCAGTCTGAGACTAAGCGGAAACCGCGAGGCTTCTCGTGCCCCCTCCTAACTCGTAAACTACATTCTGCCGCGAAAAAAATTGTATCAATTTAATTTGGAGCATCGGGATAAATTTATCCGTTTATCTCCAATTAGATAATTGTTATCCGCGCGTTTACCTCGCTCTCGACGAGTTCAACGCGCCTCTAAAATCCGTAACCCTACGAAAGAAGTGGCTCCTCGGATAACGAGACGCGCGGGTACACCTGCCATCAGGCCCTGCGGTGCACACGGCGGAAATAAAAGCTCTCCAATGCGAGGGGACGTATCGTATACCGCGAAAGTAGTAGATCGGGACGTTGGTCGAGCAAAGCGACAAGGGACTTGAGAGCCGGGAGCCGGGGCCCGATGCCGTGGTGCTGCCGACGACTCTCCTCTTTCCTTCTCCTTCCTTCCTTCGTGTCCGCCTCCCTCCCTCCCTCGTCCCGACTTATTTATTCCTTTCTCCGTCGCTAGCTCCCTTTCTTCCTCGACTTCTTCTTTATTTCTGTCCTTTTGCCCGTTTTCTGCTTCCGCAAACGACAGCCGCTTATTTATATCCCGTCTTTGCATCGCGCGGGGCCGAGCGAGGGTGCTTTCTTTTGCGTTTACTCTTGCTACTGCCGAGTCGCCGTTGCCGTTGCCGCTCTGCCGATCCTCTCCTCGCGTTCGATCCCTTTCTCTCTTTTTCTTCCTCTCCTCGTCTCTTCTAACCCGCCGTTCCGCGATGCCACACGTAACTTATGTTACGTCACGTCGTCTCGTTAATCATATCCCGCGGACACCTCTCAACGGCTTCATTAATTACCGCTTGTTTATTCCTTGCGCCGCGGGGCCTTGTGTGCCAACGTTAATTTACCATCGATACGTAGCTTCACGACGTGTGTTCCGCTGATAATTTGTTTTCGATATTTCCTCGACTCTCTCTCGTTCGTATATCTTTCTGACTCTTTCCTCGCGTATTAACGGCGAAACGGATAGGCAGGTCCGATAACAGCGACAAACGACCTCGCTTTTCTCCTCTCGTCGTTCCTCGTCCCTTCCTTCGGCGATACCCTCCTGGTCCCCGCGGTGTCCCACCCTCATTTTCCTCCGAGGCGCATTTTGCCCGCCACACGATCGCGGTTGCGTCATCCGTCAACGTGGCATCGCGTATCCACACTCGACAGGAACTCGTCGTTGAGTGAAAAGGGTACGATGGATCTCGGGGGACGAAGCCTACGTTCGACCTGCGCTTAATAGGAAAAAAAATACGTTTTTCAAAATGGTAGTTTCCTTTTTCGTGCAGTTTCTTCCAAATGGGGATCTCGCCGTTCGAGACATCGTCACTCTTAAAAGTCTCTTCTCCCGGGATCGGACGAGACCTCAGACCTCCTGATATCGGGGGGGAGGCAGGGGAAACGCGGCACGGGGGGTACGCGCACACCGTTCGCGACAAAAGCGATCGGATCGGAGGAGAGTCGAGCAAATAAACGCTGAAAAGAGGAACAAAACCGACATTATGTGGCATTAACATACAAAGTATGTCAGACCCGCGATCCGCAGGCATAACATAGTATCGCGGGCTTCGCATACCCCGCTTCTCGACGCAGCAGCGGCTGTGAGGATGAGAAAGAGAGCGAATATATACACGCTTACGTGTGCGTGCGTATCCGAGAAAGAGAGAAAGAGAGAGATAGAGGAGAGAAAAAGACGGAAGGAAGGAGCCGCCGTTGAGCGTGCGGAACGAGGGGGCGAAAAGGGTGGGATGACGAACGCGGTGTGCCGTGCGTCGGCGAAGGGCTCGCGCGACAAGGACGAAAGAGGGAGCGAAGAAGGCAGTGGCGGATCTCGCTAAATAGGCACTCACGAGTCACGAGACTCGCCCTTCGGCGCCCCTCCCCCGTACTTAATCGCATTTTGTACACCCGCGATGTCACCGTTCGTCTCACGAGTGCATCTTTTCGAGTATATCCGGTACTCATCTTCCGTACTGTAAAAAAAAAGTAGAAATAGTCGTTCATCAAATATCGCAAACGATATTTCGACATTAACGTCGATTTTATTGTTGCTTTTGAAATTCGAGAGGGTTTTCTTCTCTCTCCTCGCATTTCACTCGCTGAAATCCATGCACCGTCGACGGGACGGAAAGAGAGAAAGGGAGAGAGAAGGAGAGCGAGGCGGCGTTTACGTTATCCTTGCGGTCCTCCGTAGGTCCCGTCCCTTCGCTTCGTTGTCGTCCCCGCAATGTGTGTGCCACGCGGTGGCGGCTTAACGCAAAAGAGGCCCCCGGAGAGCGGGGCACGGGACGAGAGGAGCGGAATAGCAGAACGAGCGGGTAAAAGGGAAAGATCCGAGAAGGCAAGCAGCGCAAGGCGGTAGTGGCAAAGGGAAAAAACGAAGCGCATATATCGGGGCCGACCGACGACGACGACGACGACGACGTTGGGGACACGCATACACGTACACGCATATGTGCACAAAAGGAAGGATCTCCTTCGGTGTCACCACCGTTCGCCGGACTCCCGATCGGCTACCGCTAGCAAGGGCTGCGAGCCGCTCGAGGACGATAAAACTATCTCGCATGGTCCGCACGTGGAGAGAGATAAATATCGAGGCAATGGCGTGACATGTATAAAAGCATTTTCTTCTAATTTAGGATAAAATACCGGGATCCTGAAAATAATATTCATTGGTTACACTTCTATTTCTCTCAAGAAAATGCAATGATTTATTTCTCAAATAGCTTACAATAGTTAATCACCTAATGTAACGATTAAGAGAAAAATGCATGTCTACGTCATACTATAAAAATTTATACAAAAATTCAGAGCTAATAGATAAGTAAAACACAATGTTGTACTATAAAAGCTTATGTATAATAATTATATACAAGGATCCAAAATGCTCATGATCACAAAAATTAAGTATCAAGCTTTCCGTGTTAATATGTTTAGTATAAAACATATTGCATATTAATTCCGTTAATTCGTATTGCAACAAATAGAAATAATCTTTAGAGGTGCTACTATAACGTTAAGGTTTAACATTTGACTTATTAATGCGCAGTAAGTATCCTTTCGACGATAAAATTCCACGGCATTTGAGGTGAATTTGGTATCTTATCAGCCAGTGCAAATAGGCGGTAGAGCCAAATATTTTCTCCAACACATCTTGAGGGAGAATTTCTATAAAACAAGATGCCGGAAAATAGAACGAACGTTTTACGCTCGCAGTTGCAATTGTTTCGATCGAAAAATACTCACGACTGGGATCGCTGTGCGTCAACAGTTGAATGTCGTTTTCTTTAGTGAATTCCTGCAGGACGGGGGGCACCACGCAGCACGTGGCTAGATTGATCTGTACAATGTTTGGTTTCACCTGTAACGCGGAGCAAAAACGTCGTAATGAAACGTGGACGAGAATATATCGAAAAGGAGTCGATTCGAGTGGTAAACTTATTCTTACGTCAGCCCATTGGAACAATTCGATGAAAGTGTTTGTATTAATGTCGCTCAATCCAACGCTGGACAATTTATCAGCTTTTACATATTCTTCAACCACGGACCATATCTTTTTCAGGGATGACAATATATCTTCAGGACCTTCGGCGCTTTTGTAAGCTATCACTAAGGACTCTATGGTGCCCGTACATAGCGCTTCGAGTGCTGTGAAATGTAAGTAAAACGCATTGAGAAATACGGGAGAGAAATATATATAAATCACGACGCGGCTGACTCACCTTGGTCCAACGCTTCCTTCAACGAGTCGACATCAGGTGACGAGATAAATACTTTTACCGTGACCTTCAAGTCTTTTCTATCCACGTCCTGTAGACTCGTGTCCCTCTTTCCATTGATCTGCAATTGTAATCGACAGATAAATTTATCAACCGCTCCAGAGAAGCCACTCCCGGATCGCCCCGAAAACCGGTATACGTACAATTGTCGTGTCGTTCCCCTTGCTTCTTTCATCGTTCAGAACGATCTTCAGGGTCTCGATCAACTGAAACAGATCGACGAGTGAGAGACGCACGTTCGATAAGGGTGCGCGACATAACCTCAGCCTCTCAAGAACAGTAAATAGCTTGACACGTCGCGCGACGACGATGCGTACGCTCCACGCGGTGCTACGAAGAGCGTAGGGTTACGCAACTGCTGTCTGCTATCAACTGACCTCATCCGTGGAATTTTGACTGGCTTTTAGCCTCGCCTCGCTCAGGGAGAGTATATTCCCAGTGTTAACGAGCAAACTGTGCGAGAGCATGTCGAGTGATGTCAAGCGATCAACTTCTCAAGTTCTCAGGAGCTTCTGCGGATAGATCCGGCGGCCTATCAGAGGACACCGCGTGGCATTTACACGCTTATATCGACGCCAAGGTGATGTTATCAATCGTGACTCTTCAGTTCGTCCGCGGGAAAAATACAACAACTCTCTAGCAACTAAGTAGGAAGCAGTCAAGCACCAGCAAGAGCAAGTTGAGGATTGGAACGTGTTGGAATGATTCGTACATATTTTATCGGCAACACGCGAGGCGTCTGTAATCTCTCTCCCCTCCACGATCTTTTCCCTCTCTCCCTCTCGATTGCAATGAGTTTTCCAAATTTTCTGCATTTCTCTCGACCATGAATGTCGCACAGTCGTCGAACAGGTATTCTCCGATCGAGAAGAAACGAGGGATATGAATCTCGCGCGAGTAATTCTTGTCGCCAGCTCGATGTATTCATTCTTCGATCAAATTCTTGGCCCCAGAAAATAAGGAATCGTTGCTGAATTACGGGCTCGAGAAAGTCCGGTGAAGGATGTGTTTCTTGCTTAATAGCTCCACGAAAAATTCACCGCGATTTAAAACCTGAAAATAATTGTTTATGCGGCCCGCTCGCGTTGCGACGCGCAGACGCTGGAGAATCTTTTGTCCTCGTTTGAATTCGACGGAACTGAAATTGTGAGATACTCGGTATTTAACCAAAATTATTTTTTTTCCTCGTACTGTAGGTATTTCGTGAATGTCTCTCATGTTTATTTTTGCGAAATTGCATACAACAAGCAGATTTTCGTTGCCTCGTAGATCTATTTAAATTCGCATACAACAATGTAAAAAGCATTCGCGAAGGAAACAACTAGAGCTCTAAAAAAGTTTTTATAGAACATTTATAGAGCCTTAAAACAACCGAACCCGAATGTTATGCAATTCGTTTGAACCTGTAATTTCGTTATCGACGTTATCATTGACACGTGCGCGTAATTGAAAACCGCGCCCGCGATTGGTCGACGATCAACGGATGGCAGCACTGAAAACGAGCAAATCACGCGTTATCAGTGTTATCACGGATTCGGGATTACTCGCCGTATATTAACAAATTATCGCCAACCTATATAATATACTAATCATATAGATGTTATTTATTGCAATTGGAGTCTCGTAGAACTGATTATCGACAGGCGGGACGAGGAGGCAGGGAAAAGCTTTTCTCAGGAGTTTGCCACCCCGCGCAATTTTTGCGTGATTGCATGTAATCGCGACGATACGGAAAGGGTAATAAACTGATACACAACTCGAGCGTATATATCACACTCGGTAATTATATTACGTAAACAGACGTCACACGGCACACGGAGGAGACTCGAGGCGATATTTTTGTTTGTTCCTGTTGCAGAAATGCCGATTGACATCGCCGCGTTCGCGTACGCCGCCGCGGTCGCCGGCGGCGGGGTGTTAGGTTACGTGAAGTCGAGTGAGTTCGATTGTTGAACGTCTTTGATTCTCGCAGCTCGCTGACGACGCTGACCGACGTCGCTCGACGTTGAGCGATTTCTCTTCTCCATCGTGCGCTTCGAATAACGGATCTTCTCAAACTTTCCAGGTTCCATCCCCTCGCTGGCCGCGGGGCTTCTGTTCGGATCGGTTCTGGGCTACGGCGCTTATCAGACCTCCCAGGATCCGACCAACGTCGCGGTTTTCCTGGGGACCAGCACGGCCCTCGGCGGCCTGATGGGATATCGATTTTACAACAGCGGGAAGATCATGCCAGCTGGAGTAATCGCTATGCTGAGGTATCTCGTATTTCGGATGCTTGTGTTATTAAAACCCACTTGTGTTAAAATCCGTGCGTCGCATATCGGTATATTAACGTCGGAATAATTATTTTCAGCGCCGTCATGGTCGTGAGGACAGTTGCGAGATATTTCTCACCGCCCTTGAAGACTGAGTGAACGTTAATTAATTAAGTGCTAGAGATATCACATTTTTAATTTTAAATTTATTATTTTCGTGCAAGAGGGAGGGGTACAAATATAAACTATAAGGATTTATAAGATTTAATATCTCTGAAAAGAAATATATCTTTTTCTTTGACGAATTTGAATTCTCATTGTATTTGTTATTTTTTATACAAATGTCAAGCAGTTAAATGCGCTGCGTCATGCTCCGGAGCACTCGATTGTTTTCGACGCAACTGTCAAACGATTGATGCCTACGACGTACGAATACGAAGACGTCCGACTCTGTGCTCGACCAACTTCGCGTCGGCGTTGAACGGGCTCTGTACTCGGTGTAGGTGAAACGAAAACGAGTGTAGTATGTATATACATTCGAGAGAAGGAACGGACGCGGCAGAGTGTAGAAGGTGCAGTTGCGCGAAACGATGCGAGGACGGACGTATCACTCGAGCCTGCTGGCGCGTTGCTGACGAGAATATCCGTTCCACGCCACGTTCCACTGCCGGTCGTCGTTGCGTCCGGTTCCGTCGTCGGGTGTGCGCGAGGGTCGGTCGAACGGTGCGAGAATCCCTCGATTAGGGCCACTGCCCCAATTAACGCGATTCCGCCGGCAACTTCCGGAAGCGCCGCTCCTTGGAATTGGAAGTCTCGGAACCGAGTCTCGCAGGGCTGCCCTACGTGGCCAGATTAAATTATCGTTATTAAATAATTGAATAACACGGATCCCCGGCCTCGCCGTTGACGCTGTGATCGTCCGAGGATTCGGTGAATTGACTTCCTCTCGTACCACCGGTAAGACAACCGTTCATTCCCGGAGGGGATTTACTCTCAATATCGCCGTGTGACACGAGCTAATTTAACCGAAGGATTCGTGTAAAATTGCGCGTCACGCTGTGATCACGCGGGGGTGTGTGTGTACATACGTTGCAAATTCGAGGTTAAGTTTCGCATGACTGACTCGTTTCGCCTCTCAAGTGCGTCGATTTCATAAATGTAATTGTAATCGCCTTAGGCAAAGTGTTTTTTTTATATTTTGTGAATCTTTTGGTCTTCTTTGTCGTTGGATTCGTTTCGCGACGTGCTTCAACTGCTTCAAGTCACACAGGCGCGCTTAAGTGAATTATGTTCATTTCTACCAAAACGATTAACTCCAATCTCGTTTTAATTTATTTTTTATCTTTTTCAAATGCTTAAAATAAAAAAAAGGATGAAAAGTAAGTTAAGCCGAGATTAAAGCTAATCGGTATTGGTCGAGGT